CCGACTGGCTACGGGGCCGCTTGACAGGCGCCGCGTGCAGCAGCTAGCGTCCCTCATTCGCGGTGCATCCGTGATGGGTTATAAAAGAGGAGGAAAGTATTTCTCCTTGCTCAGCAGATTTGCCCTCCCTTGCTCCTTACTGGTTAGGAGATAGAACGTGAGCCCAGATCCGGACGAGCAGTTCACATTCCATTACGAAATTCTACACGGCTTCAGAGCCAGCAGCAGCACACATTCGGGGCACTTTGGAGGGTTTTTTTTCCTTCTTCTTTTGGGGATGCTAAGTAGTGGTGGTGGTGGAGAGAAGTAAAGGGGTGAATAAAGCAATGGAACTTTTGGGTATGCTGAAAAACCTGTCTAAGGATTTTTCATCAGAAGAACAATTCACCCTAGTTCTTGTTTTTGAGTCTAGGTTTGAGCTTAGCTCTTGAAAAGCCAAGGGAAAGAAAGTTTGCCTGTTGAATAGGGATGCTGGAAATTGCAAGGTATTTCTGTCTCGAAAGGAGATGGTGTGGCTGATGTGCATTCCCGTATTTTTTAGATCTTTTTTTTTTCACCAGTTAATATCTGTGCTTGTGTACAAGTGTGTTCTGAAAAAAAAAAAAGTTCATTGAAGTGAAAGTTGGGGAAATGAGAGCGGCAAAGAAAAGAATGTGTTTTTGTTTGTTCACACCCGTGAAAAGCATCCTCTAGATTTGGTGCTTTTCGGAGTAGGCAGGTATGGTTTCCAAGACATAATTTAACCCGGAAGTTTGAGTTAGAGGCTTGGCTAAAGCCTCTTTTAAAAAACTCTGCTTCCTTCAAGAATCCACAGAACTTTTGAAGGAATGAATTTGAAATACTCTAAATAATATATGCAAAGTGGACCATTGTTTTGATGTTGTTATTGTTTTTTACTTCTGCCCTTTGTAGGGAGACTTCTGGGTACCTGTTGATGGGTTCTGCTTTGATGTGTTTTGAGCTTTGGTTACACTGATGAATTAAACATTTCAGTGGCTTTAATCAAGTTTTAAATGTGTGAAAAAAAATACCTTTCCCCTTTTTACAGAAGAAAGGGAGAGAGGAGCTCTTTGATTGATTGATTTATTTCTCTTTCTTCATTTTAGGTTAATGAACTTGCATTCTTAAAAATACTGCTGAACTGGTTGGCTTTTAGAATGCTTTGTTTTTAAAAAAGGATTTGCTGGATATGTGATAATCTTAAGAAATGCTGCTGATGCTTACTGGTGTATGGAATATCATTCTCTGCATTTTCCTACATACCATTTTATTTCTCATCAGAAATTCAGACTGTTCAGCCTCATGACAGACTAGTGTTTGTTACGTGATGATCGTGCCTCTGACTCAGCTGGTACAGGTGGAACATCCCTTCCTAGGCATGTACACCATCCAACAAGTGACCTTTTGATTGAAGGGTCTTTTTATTTTAGATTTCTTCCGGCATCCAACACAGGTACCTAATACTGAAGGAGGAAAATGAAGCCTAGCTTTATTCATCCTGCATCTGATCAACAGCTGTTTATTGGTTACCTGCTTTAAGGCAGGCAATCCGTAGCTGCTGTTAGGAGACCCCTCATTTTTAACTCTTTAATTTTGAACTGTTGTGTGAGTTCACTTCCTGGGTCAGTTTGTGGAGGTCTTTGCTTGCTATCTGTATGCTCACTTGCTAATATAAAGATATCAGCTTCAGCTAAGGAAATTTCCTGTTTAATGAAGTTGAAAAATTCTGTCCTTTTAGGGGTTTCCATGGCATAATTAATATAAACTTGACTAATATAACAATTGGTTAAACCTGCTCTCTAGATGCAGTCAGAAGTGAATCCTTTTGATGTTTCTATTCATTATCCTTCTGAAAAGTAGGTGGTGCTTAGAAGGTCATAGGATAAGGGTTGCTAAGCAGCTAAACAGAAGGATGCTAAAATTAACCGAAGCATTTTTGAAAGGGAGTCCTTCCCTGTTTTACATTATTTACTGGATTTAATCAATTTCTGAACTCTCCAGGTCCTTTGACCTAGAAAGGTAGAATGTTAATGTTGATTTTGTTTTTGTTGTCATATTTAAATAATCTTTCTTTTGTAATGTGTTTAATTGAAGTTCAGTTTTCTTTGACCTAACCCTGTGGTGTCAAATGGCAGCTTGTCTGAGGTGACTTCGTTTCTGTTACCAAATGTGTTCAGGTTAAGCATTCCCAAGGATATGTGTATGTAACTGCACCTTTTCTCACATGTTAATAAGACTTTTTGTTTTGGAAAGTCTACATAATCCATAAAGTGATGCCTTACTTATATTCTTCATTAAACAGATATGCGCTCAAAAGAAATGCAGCATAGGTATCAATAGAAACTATGCAGTATAGTCTCACCTGATAAGGGGACAATAGCTTTCTCTCCCCCTTCACTGAGATTACCACTCTTAGATTAGGCCTCCATATGTCCCCACCTCCATGTTACCCCACCTCTCTGGCTCAGTTTATTCAGCCCAGTTCATACCTACCTTTTAAAAAAGAATTGTATTAGGTTCAGAATCTCTTCAGAGGAACTGAGCAAATGTTAGAAAACAATAACAATTGTGGTTTGCATTACATTTCTACCATAAATGTGTTTTAAGTATGTTTGCAGCAAGATAAAAGGTAGAAATCTGAAGCCAGGGTTGGTAACCATCACCTTGATTGAACGCAGCCCCAGTGTGAAGGTAGAAGTTTCCGTGTCTCAAGGTCATCTGTGTACATCTGACCTGTTGAACACACATTGTTGAGTCATATTTTTTTACATCCAAATATAATTAGGAAATGGGTAAATAAGTGTGCTGTTTCTTCTCTCTCTTTCTCAGAAAGTGATTTTGGGGTAGGAATAGTCAGGGCCTTCTTCAAAAGGCAGGGGTCAGATAGTGCCTGCCACACCCTGGGGGGACCTCGTAAATCAGAGGTAAAAGGTGTACCATCTGAAACCCAGAGGGAGGCTCATGATGTGCTTTCTGAAATGCATCACTTACTTTTAATTTCCCTCACTCCCACATGGAAGGCAGACTACAGAGAGGAAAACCATCCGCTGGCTGGTGTTTTCTTTACAGTGAGGTGGAAGAATGAGGAAGGTGGGGAGGAGCTTTTCCTAGCTAGCAGCCTTCCGTAGGCAGTGTCATCAGCCCAGCTTCCCCCAGTTTCTCTCGTCCCCTTGCCTGGGTGTCCAACGTGGCCTGAAGGGCAGCCGAGCGTGGCTGGAGATTGCACTCTGCTCCTTGGCAGCGGCGGGTGGGGCAGAGATGGAAAGGAGGGGGCAGGGCGCTGTCCTTCCAGTGACCGGGTGCATCTTGCTTTTGATGGGACTGCAGGGCACGTCGTTGTCTGTCCATCAGTAAAGGTGGCTGCCTGTGAATAGGTGCTCAGACAAAGCAATGGGAGAGGGTGGAGACTGTTTGCTCTGTGTGATTCAAGCCTGTAACGCTAAGAGAATTTGAAAACCTCTGTTAAGTCCTGGGACTGGGGACTGGCTGCTCCTGCGGGGATTCACCTGAGGCTGGAAGACTGCTTGAGGGCGGGTGGAAGTCACTGGGTGGAGAGAGAGAATGAAAACCCCCACTGGCTTTGTCAGACGGCCAGACTGAAGAGAAAAAGTCTCAGTGGGGGTAATTAGATAAAGCTTTTAAATGCTCTATTTGTTTTTCCCCTGAGCTTGCTTGGTATTCCACCACCCGCCCTCCCTGAGACTGTAGAGTAGGATTGTTATAAAAACGTTTTGAGTCTGCTGGTTGAATTACTTTTCCGCGTACCTTCTTGGACAGAGTTAGTTTCAACCTGCTTTTGTGAAGGCCGTTAGCAAAAGTTCTGAGTTTGAGCCCAGAGCAGCTTTATTTTACTGCTATGCCTTGATCTACCCATGGGCTGGTGAGAAGTCAAGCCAGACTCAGAACTCCCAAGTCCAGCCTGACTGTACAACAGCTGTTCTTTAGAATCAGCTTGGCCTCAGAGGACTTAGCATTAAACGTGTGCACTCTGTTTTTCTCTGTGTGTGTGGTTTTAAAATAAGAACTTTTTGAAATTAACTCCCTGTTGCATTTGAAGGTGTAAGGGAATTCCTTAGCTTTTGGCAGCATTGCTATTGACGAATGTGATTATATAATAGTTATTTCGGTAGCTTTACTCTTTTCTACACGCCACCCCCCACCCCCCCAGCCCCAACCTGTGCTGGGAATGGAACCCAGGGCCTGGTGCATTCTAGGCAAGTGCTCTGCCACTGAGCCACATTCCAGCCCATTCAGGAGCTTTTCTACCTTATGGGATTGTTGGAAGGATAAAATTAATGTTCCAGAAAGTCAAAATCTATATATGGAAAAAAGTGGTGTATTTTGAGCTCAGGAAGCCTTGTGGGTATCCACTCTGGATTTCCTTTTCCAGAATTTTACCCAACTCAATTACGTTAGGCAGAATTTGCCCAGGAGTTTGTGTTCAAATGGGGGAAATGTAGTCCTTTCTTTTTGCCTCCAGGGTGGAGAGCAAACAGAACTAGTAAATTCTTCTTAATGAGATTTGCTTAGGAATGAGTTTTAAGGAAAAAGCCAGTGGCAAACTTAGAACTCACTATTTAAAGGAGTGGTTGTCAACTTGGTGGCTCTTCCCCAGGGGGCATTTAGCCTTGTCTGGAGACACTGTGGAGTGTCCTGATCTGGGAGGGGACAGTTGCTACTGAGGAGAGACCAGAGATGCTGTTCTGCCTCTTGTGGAGCACAGGATACATTCCCCACCTCCAATAGATTATTCAGCCCCAGATGTCCTCCAAGGTTAGAAAGTCTGCTTTAAAAGTGCAGTAGCAGGTCGCAGGGTGAAGTTTGCCCAGCATGCAGGAGCACTGTTTAAAAAAAAACAGCATAGTAGTGGTGGCCTGTCATACCTGCAAGTAGACTTGAGGTTCTCCCTGTATTGCATGCATTTTATTTTGAAATCTGAAATTCCATAAAGCAAGTAAGGTCTTATTACATGCCTGTAAGGTACCTTGGTTGGTAAGTTCAAGGTTTCACAGAAAACTGGGGGGTTGGGGAAAACCGTAATGTTTGGAAACCCTGTTAGTAAATTAAAATTCTAGAACTCGTCTGCTTCTAAAACAAGCCAGATTCCCTGGCACCAGGAAGCTGTTCTGATAGGTGGCTCAGCTTTCCGAGTCACTTCTCGAGTCATTAAGGAGACTTGCTCTGGTGCTGTCATCCGCCAGTTCTCCCTGGAGTTTTGAGTTATGTGGAGTATACTTTTAAGTGTTTGAACTAGCCCCTACTTGCTTGATGTTTTTGTACTCATGGTCTCCCTTATTTTGTTTCCTCAAGTTTTTGCAAATTTCTTACATAACTATCTGCCCTTCTTGACAGCGCCTGTGAGCAAGGTCTTCTGTTCAGTGGTCTCCTCTTAAGAGCCAGTGGAGAGTTGCACGGTGGCTGGAAGGGATGGGGAAGGAGGCAGTAATTATTTTTATATTCTTGCCTTGGTCTCGTCCTTCACTCCCGCCCCCAACATAGGAAGGAGACATAGAGGAAACTAGAGTGGAAGAAAAAGGGGAACAGAATTCCAGAAAAGGAAGGGCTGCCTGTGTTGGGCAGACTGTTGCCCCCCAAGGCCTGACTCCCTCTTAACCTTACAGACACAGGTAGCTCTTGATGACAGCTCTCTCTCTCCTTCTTGCACGAGTGGACTGACTGCTGGGGGTGCTCATTGCCATGGCTCGGCTGTGTCCCTCTGCATCCTGGAAGCTGAGCCCTGTCACTCTGCATCCTGGTGCTTCTCTGCCCTCTCTTCTCAACTATGGGGCAACTCCTGGCTCTATCTCCACTTACAACTTCTCCCAAGCCGGAACCTTCAGGTACCTCCCCCTGCAGGTACTTGTAAAAGTGAAAGTCATCTCCCTCCTTTCTGAAAAGTGATCTCAAGCACACGTCCACCCAGTCCTCTAGGCCAGGAACCTCACCCCTGTCCTGGAGACATCGCAGCCTAACGTTCTGCTGAAACCCTCGCCGTGTGGCAGATGCCTCCTGAGTTGACTTCCTGCCACCAGTTCCTCCGCCTGCAGTTAGTTCATCTGCACTCTTCTGCCAGAGTCCTCGTCCTCAAAAACTAGAGCTGGGCATGTTGTTTGCCGACTTAAAAACATCTCTTGGCTCCCTGTTGTCTATGGAAAGAAACCCAAGCTCCTTCCTTGTCACTCAGGATCTTTATTGGCTGCTTCCAAGCTCAATGTCTAGTCCCAGCCCTCGCCACCCTCTCTTCTCCACCACTGCCACTCGGAGTCATTTCTGTCTGCTTTTGTGCTTATTGTTCATGCTGCTGTGTCCCGGTCCCCTTCCCTAGCAAAGAGCCTTTCTTACCCTTTTTCCAAATCCCCATGCCACCTCTTCTGGGGAGTATTCCGCCCTCCTCCAGAATAACTTTCTCCCCATCTGTTGGGCTTTTCTGCTGCAGTTGGTCTCTAGCATGTTGCTCCAGCGTTCTGAGCAGAGCCTTCTTGCATCCCTTGCACCTAGGCCACCGACTCCGTAGTTAGTGCTCTCTCAGCACTGTGTGTGGATTCCTCAGACACAACGAGAGCTGTTGGAGAAGAGCCACATGTAATTTGGAAGCCGAGGCCCAAATAGCACTATAAATTCAGCGAAGGAAATGGATGTAAAGAGTTGTTTTCAGCACACCCATCATGCAAAGATTTGGTGCACACTGGTGGGAAAGACTTTTGAATTTTAGAAATTCTAAAATAAAAGTTGGCTCAGCTTCATTTAAAGAGGGGGGAAAAAAAGAAAAACTTTGTTAATGCCTGGTTGCACTAAAAGCTGTCACACTGGGGCCTTTACTAATTATAATCACTTTCCAAGGCTCTTGGTTTGAAGTTTACATTAAATAGGAGGGATGGGCACCCAGATCAAAGACCAAAATCATTTCAGAACTCCAATGTGTGGGCCCATTTTCTCTCCTTAGTTAGAGTTTTGTTTCATTAGTGGTATGAGTTAATAGGAGTGTTGATGTGTGTATAATTTAACTTTTTTTTTCCCCCATTACTCTTTGGATTTTAAACAAAATGCCAAACCAGAAATCTACAGAGTTTAAATCTTCCTTTATTTGCATATGTGAGTGTGTGTGTGTGCAATATATACATGCTTGAGGAAAGTTGATTGTAGATCATATTTATAAAGAGAATCATTGATAGATTTTTAGGAGAGCTCCCTTTATGCTGAGGCTTTGTTGTGAAACATGTCTCTGAATATGCAAAATCATCTCAAAACCTTTCCTTAATTTTCTTTTAAAAGTGGTACATTTATTTTCAGAAATAGGGAAGATGCCAGGAGAATGGGGTGGATGAAATCCCAGTTGACTATGTTCATTATTGCTGCTGCCTAAAATGTGTGAGGCCCTGGGTTCAGTCTCTAGCACACCCCCACACACCTCAACACACGAACTTTAAATATTCTTTAATAAGTACTTACCTGCTGGTTAGAGTTTAGGCTTAGTTTTGGCAGGTGCATTCAGTTATGATATTTTAACTTAATCTTATTTCGAAGGAAGTTTGTTTATTTTCTTCTCTGATATAGAAAATTGATTTTTTTTTTAAAAAAGCTGTTTTCTCTTTGACTATAGGACTTTTAATAGTTTTGCTGGATAATTTTATAAAACTGTTCATCCTAAGTAGTTTTTCCATGACTTGGTTAGTTAAATTTTTTTAATGTATTTGGTTAAAGCATTCTACTTCAAATTTGAAAACAAGTTTAATTTAGAGGAGGTTTAACTTACACATTTCTGAATTTGATTTGTATTTATTTTTTTATGGTGCTGGGGCTGAAACCAGTGTCTTATAGGCGGCGGGCAAGTGTTTTACCACACCACTGAGCTAGCCCTTCAGCCCCTTCAATTTGTATTTAAGTCATGAAAATAAGGTTTCTGAGGACCATTTGTTGTTCAAGAACTTCGTAAGGTTTTACCCTTTTTCTTATGGTATGCTAGGTGTCTCCAGTTCCACATCAGATTCAGTCTCTTTTTGGAAAACAAGCAATTTTCCATAGCCAAGCTTGCCAGTCTCATGGTGGTGTTATTATTATTATTATTATTATTATTATTTATAAATGGGTTTTTAGCTAGGTACCAGGGTGCGTGCCTATAATCCCAGTGATTCAGGAGGTTGAGGCAGGAGGATCATGAGTTCAAAGCCAGCCTCAGCAAAAGTGAGGTGCTAGTCAACTCAGAGAGACCCTGTCTCCAAATAAAATACAAAATAGGGCTGGGGATGTGACTCAGTGATTGGAGTGCCCCTGAATTCAACCCCCAGTACACCCCCACAAAAAGTGGATTTTATTTATTTAATAAATATTTGAATATGTACTAGGTGAAGACACTATGATAAGCACTAAGGCTACTTACAAGTAAGGGAAGGAGAGACGGTTGCTAGCCGCATAGAGGATACTTTGCATATAAAGAGGCATGTTCCACAACAGGTCACATATGACTGTGCTGAGTGCTAAAAGTTAACATGACATGAACTTAGGATATGAAGTTTAGCCTCTCCATGTGTCAGGAGTGGAGGATGCTGGGAAGCAGGTAGAGGAAGGCATCCTGGCAGAGAATGCTGGGAGGCAGGGGAAGGAAGCTCTGTAGTGGAGGATTCTGGGTAGCAGCTCAAAGAAGGCATCCTGTGGAAGTGACATTTGAGCTAATACCTGAAGGATGGTGAGAGGAAGAAAAGAGTACTTCAGAGAACAGCTTGTACAAAGACCCAGAGGTTGGAAGCGGGGATGTGTCCAGGGAAGTGAGAGAAGTCTGGTGTGTCTGGAGGAAGAACAGAACAAACAGATGGCACTGATGGTGAGGTAGGTGGGGGAAAGAAGACCATGTTGCTGGCAGTTCTTAAGAACTCTGGGACACTGTGAAAGTATGGGGCTGTGGAGGGCATGATGAGATTTGCATTTTTAAAGATCACTCCTACCCACAGTGGAGAATAGACCAGGGTTAAAGGAGGCGCTGTTTGACCTTCTGTTTGCATAAAGATTAGCTAGAAGGCTGGGATTTGAAAACCGTTGGTGGCTTGAAGTATGGTGGCAGCAGCAGTGGGGAACTTGGGTGGATTTAATAGAGATTTAAGAGGAGGAAGGACTAGGTGATGGGATGCGCAGGATGGGGGAAGAAGGAGATGACTTCCAGGTCTCTGGCTTTTGTAACTCTCTGAGATTAGAATGTGGGATAGAGCAGAGTTTATGAATGAGATTTGTTCCCTTGAGTTTTATGCTTATGTTTTCAATTTTTCAAAAGCATTTTTTATGCTTCTATTATGTTGTATTTGGTTAAAAAGTATGTACCTGGCCTGGATGAAACATGAAAGGTACTTATATAATAGTGAGAAGCGGAAGTTTTATTCTTGTCTCTGGGAGCAAAATGAATGGCTTCCTTCTTCCTTCTCTCCACCTTTTCTTTCTTTCCTTTTAATTTCCTGATGCTGCCTGGCATGGTGGCACATGCCTGTAATCCCTGCAGTTTGGCAGCTCAAGGCAAGAGGATCACAAGTTCAAGGCCAGCTTAGGCAATTTAGTGAGACCCTGTTTCAAAATAAAAAGAACTAGGGATGTAGTTCAGTGATAAGAACCCCTGGGTTCAATCCCCAGCATTAAATGATAAGAATAATTGTCAATTATTAATATTTCCTGATGCTAAAGAGAAAAGGAAAGGGTTCTTGCAGATTGCCTCAGCTTTTTTTTTGCTTTTGTTTTTGTTTTGGTATTGGGGATTGAACTCAGGGGCATGACTACTGAGCCACATCCCAGCCCTATTTTGTATTTTATTTAGAGACAGGGTCTCACTGAGTTGCTTAGTGCTTCACCATTGCTGAGGCTGGCTTTGAACTCATGATCCACCTGCCTCAGCCTCTAAAGCTGCTGGGATTACAGGTGTGCACCACCATGCCCGGCTAGCCTGAGCTTTGAATGGTTTTCAGATGAAATGTGCACCTAAATCTTAAAAGCATTTAAGCTTTTGTTTATTTAATTTTATTTATTTTTTTATGGTTTTGGTGATCAAATCTAGGACCTCATACATGCCAGGCAAGCACTCTACCACTGAGCCACATTCCTATCCCCATGTTTTTGTTCATTTTAGTGATGCTTTATGTGTTGGACCTGTGAGCCAAGGGCTCATGGGAAGAGAATCAAGCCAGGACTCTTGCAGTTGCTCAGGTCCCTTACTTGGTATCACATTGCTTCTTGACCTGGTTTTCCAACTTATTTCTTAACTAGAACCACATACAGGACCTTAGTGGTCACCTGACACCCTTAATGTCTTAGAGTTACATCAGTATTTTGCTTTACCAGTAATCTGTGTGAAAACAAAGTTCATTCAGAAAAACAAAACAAAACAAAACAAAAAACCTCTGTAAAGAAAAAAAGCATTGTGCGCTGGGCTCCCTCCTAGATCTTTGGGTGCCAGAGGCTCAGATTTAACCCGTTCCACGAGAAGTAGAACTTGTCCCATGAAATGATTGTCTATCTGGTATTTAAACACCTGGTGATAGTGGACTTGATATTTACCCCCAGGCAGTCCTGGGGGGTTCACTGAGTTAACCTTTTATTTTCTTTTTTTTTAAATTAATTAATTTATTTCTAAATAGGTATATGTGGCAGCAGAATGCATTTTGATTCACTGTACACAATTGCAGCGCAGCTTTTCATTTATCCGATTGTCTACTGATTATACACCATGTAGTGCTGCACCATATGTGTAGTCCTACACATACCTAGGGTAATGATGACCATATTGTTCCACCATCTTTCCTGCATCATGCCCCCTCCCCTCCTTTCCCTCCCCTTTGCCCACTCACAGTTCCTCCATTTTTCCCATGCCCCCCCCCCACCTTTTTCTTTTCATGGCAGACAGAATCTTCTTGGAACCAGAAAGAGATGCATTTTGCCCTCAGTTGGTATAGAATAGAAGCTGGGGTGCAGCTGTCCTGTGCTTTCTGCTTCTAGGGGCGGCAGTGTGTGGTCTGACTCTCAGAGTTCCGCCAGAGAGTGCAGGAAGTGCTCAGCAGTGGCCATCTCTTAGTTAGGGCTCCTGCTTCCTAGAGACGGGGCTGCTGCCTCACTGGCTGACCAACTGTCCCCATGTGTCTGAGTTGGGATCCCCTCCTTTAAGATGTTCTCTCAAGAAAGTCTTATCCTGGGTTTGTAAAATGCTTTTCTCTGACGTCATCCTTACGATTCGTCAAAAGCTCAGGTGTAAGCCCCAGCAGATCCGCAAAACTTTTCTCTTATGGTGTCAATCCTGACGGATGTAACCTGCACGTCCCATTAGGCCCCAGGTAACGCTGGTCCTTTACCCACATTGGGGAGAAAATGATTTTCCATCTCTTGCTTGGGAACATGGATGTTCCTGCATCAACTGGAACCTAGATAAACCCCACACTGTTTTCCAGTCCTGTGTTTGATCAAGTGAACTAAGTGGGGTGGGAGTGGGGGTGGGACGTAGACCTTGCCGCTGCTTGTTTTTAAAAATGAAATAGCTTGGTGAGAAGATGCTGAAAAGAACTTTTTAAATAGCTTAAATTTTGGAATTTAAATTTG